AACTAGCAGCCACTCAGACCGCAAACATGGAGACGACAGTCAGTAATGAGACGTCGTTAACGCATTCAAGGCGTTCGCGTATTGCGCAATCTGGAAGCGGCCCGCAATCAATGGCCGGAGAGGGCATCGCCGTCCATAACAATGCGGCTGAAAGCTCCGCCGACATCCGTACCAATGCCTTCAGCACCAGCACAGGCAGCCACGGCACACTTTCAGACAACATCATTATAGAGGATCGGTGCTCCTCGACAGGATCGACGTCCTCCACCACGCAGACAGCGCAAGCTGCACATGCCGTCGAAACGAAACGTAAACGAAATGGTAAGTCTCCTTCCTCATTTCGCGCCAGAATTCCTCATTAAAATATTTATTCCAGCCGAGGTCCTTGATAGCCAGCCACAGGCATCGGGATCTTCCACCGAAAGTCCGCAAAATTCTCGTGAAGGTAAGTTAGACCTCCATACGTAAGTGCAGCATTGAGCTGACATAAGGCCCAGAACTTCCGGGAGTCTCCTCCCTGCCCCCTCCCAAGCCGAAGGCTCGTAAAAAGCGTGGCCATGGGTGGACCCGCAGAAAAATTAGAAGGGCGACTACTCAAGGTCGTGCTGTCCGGGTAGGCGGCAAGCGCCTAGTCGAGGGCGTCGATGGCGAAGAAGACGAGGCAAGGCAAATGAAGAGGCGGCGTGTTAGTGAGGAGGCCGTTGCGGGGCCATTCAACGCACGTTCAATATCGTTGGACAACACGATTGGTGCGACCAACGTCCGTCAGCTGCGATCGCGCAGCATCGTCTTTCCCGCAGGTCCCGCAAACTCGGGAAGCGACGAGGGAAACACGACGACGAGGTCGCCATCTCCAGATCGTGCATCAGAACGACCGACTTTAGAAGATACACTAGAAAATGAGGTAGACTTCACTCTCATAAAAACAGAGGATGAAGAGGAGGGTTTCCTCTGGGATACTCCTCCGCCTCGGGATTGGAGTCTGCTGATGCCAGAATATGAACTGGCAACCGAGGACACATTCCGATTTGACAGTAACCGGAGTACGCCAGAGCTGACGACTGGACGTGACGGGTCCCATAGGGATAGAAGCGAATCGGTCGGCTCAACGCCCGTAGGAACGCCACGGGCCCAATCAGTGGACGTCCAATCGTTTGATAGATCCCTTGTGATCGTTCTTCCGGGAACGATGGAGGAAGCGGAGCCACCGGACGAATTGATGGACGTTCTGGATGAGGGTGAGGACGAGGACGAGATTGATGAATATGTTTCGGGTTCCTTCATCCCTGGTGACGGAAGAAGGTCCAGGGCTCCCAGCCCTCCATCTCTTCCTCCATCACACTCCGTATCACGATTGACAACTCCCCAGAGTGATGAGGAGACAGACAGCGCTAGATAGTTCGTATGGATGTCACCAAAAGAAGCGGTCCCATACAGCCTTGAGCGTCACGGACGTATCCAACCAAGCCTAGAGGTCTCGTATTTTTATCGTTCATCTCGACAGCCGTCCAGAGGAAAATGCGTACGATCAAGAGATCATTCCACACCTCGATTACGGTAACGAACCACAAAGTCGGCCTGCTCGTCCTCCTGGCTTATTGTGTCTGTCTTCTTGTTAGTCCGGTGCCGGTGACGCGTCCGTGGACTTCGAAATCGACCATCGTCAGCTGGGCGTCTGCTCCATGCTAGATAATGCCTCTCCAACACTATCCGCAATTTATCCGAGTCTTCCGAGGTGCATATCAGCAACTCGACAGTATCCTCCGATGCAATGGCGAGTTGAACGATTGCCAGGCGTCTGCACAACAACGTCGGCGATAGCCCTTCATCACTTTCGGCACGTTTATCTCTACTTTCCGCGTCGCGACTGCACCCCAAAGTCCTTCCTCGACTTTCCACCAGCAGTTCTTGTCCTCCACCTGCTCTGTACTTGTACTCGTTTCTGTATTTGTATCTCTTGTTTCCTCTTTTGTATTCTTTCTGTTTCGCACTTCCTGTACGGCCAATGGCTTCCTTCTCCATGTGATTATATAAAAGCGATGCCCAATTCGGCGTCAGCTTTTGGCTTGCTGATCTTTCGAGATCAGTCAAGCCTCCTCATAATCCGGTTGGTCGAAGTGCCCTTCAGAAACGACGACCAAGATTATGCACGAGGCAACAGCAGAGAGTCTCAGCCATCGCACAAATTCCCCAATTGAGAAGATCCATACACTTCCGCAGAAGGTGAGGAGATTGGTCAAAAACATCTGGTGTGCACTCTTCTATTCATATTTAATAAACACACTACCGGGATAGGGAATGAAATGCCACTCACAGATGGAGTCGCTTTGTTTCAATGCCGCAAGGGAACTCTTCACTACCGAAGCAGGCTACGGTCACGATGAATGCGAAAATTATTGGAAACTCATAAGCATTCGAACTGATAAAATAAATTCAGTACGATAATATGCTAATCCTGTTGCTGACGTCGCTCACCGACAAGGCGATTTCGCGAAATCACTGAAGCCTACCACATGGTGAATCATGGAACCGAGTTTAAGATCCAACCGGATGGAAGGTCTTGCACAACAGCTCAGCAAGTTACCAGGTTTGCAGAATTCCGATTTTTCGTCAAGTACGCAATCGGCTAGCGCTGGTTTTGGACCAGTCAGAGACAAGAACGAGGTGGGGTCGCCCTTGAATAGTGGCACAGAGGATGACTTGAAAAGCTCTAGCACGCTGCCACGCTCATCCTAAATCCTTATTAACGTGTTCAACTAGGATGCGAATGGAAAGTGGACTTACGAATGAATGGATTGAACGTTCATTGTTTCAGTGGGCTTCACTGAGAAGCCAAAGGATGCAAAAGATGGATGTTGACGAGAAACATCGCAAATACACCATCCCAGAGCAATTTTAATGGTACACTGGTAGCGACATCGATCTATGAACTTCCACGCGAGACTTTTGAAGTTTTTTCGCAGCGGATGCAGCCGAAATCGATTGAAGACTGGTTTGGTCAACGTAAGCAAGTTACTTCGGAACGGTGAGAAGTGAGAGAAAAAAACGTACCGTTCGAGTTTATTGCTCTTGAGCTTGTTTTTACCTTTGTTAGTCTTGACTCGTGGGCCATCAGGGGCTAACGTTAATCCCCAAAAAACGTTAATAGTGTTCTTTTTGTGTAGCAGAATGAAAGGGACGAGTTAATGTTAAAGTTTGGCGAAGTGGCAGCTGAATCAAAATGCGTTAGGTGTTTCCCACGCATACACCGACTTTATCACATCTCCTTCTCCCTCTGTTCTCTCAGATACCCCAGCTTATCTTTATTAAATTTTTATTGACTGAAAATGGTATACTTCCCTCAAAGCTTCTTTTACTTGTGAATGACAATGCTGAAATGAATTCGAACAGACGGTGTGTGGTGACTGTGGTGGAACGATCACATAGAATACGATGCAGCGGGAGGCAAC